ATCAAGAGGCTTGTTGAATTTACAATAACATCCAACCACATACCTGTATCCCATCTGTTTGACTGAGGTACAGCTGGATGTTGACATAGTCGGGTCTGTTCTCTTGCCAAAACTGAGAGGACATAAAAATAAATAAATATATTAAAATTGTTTCTGTATACTCAGATTTTCTCCTATTGTAACATATGTGATTCTAGAGTTTAACAGCCAACATCTATAAGCAAATATATATACACACACGTATGTATATAAATACACACACACACACACACACACTAGCATGCTTTAGAAAGATTACATAAAAATAGAATTAAGAGATAATGCAAATCTTTCCATTAACTTCTTGAAGTACCCTTGTGTATGCGTATAAATACATATACACACACACAAATACATATATGACAGATTCTAACATTAAAAACCTGCCCTACTGGTTTAAATTAAGTACGATGGTAGCGGTGGGAGGGAATAATTCTCTGTTAACTTTATAGATACAAAGTCTAGCATGCTACATCGTATACTAGCACAGTATTCTACCAAGTCTTCCCCAAATATTCCTTAGTTTATTCCCTAAGAATGTCTAAATTTTACCTAAGAGTTTGTTCATTAAGAACATGATTTTCTTGAAAAAAAAAATAGAAAAGAAAGAAAGAAAGCAATATTGATATAGGATATGCAAGCTAGGAAACAAAAAACAAAACAAATAAAAACAAAAACAAATAATGGACACTTTTTCCTGTTCCTGTCTTCTCCCTATTCAGCACTGGTTTTCTTTGTATAAAAATGTATGAGGCAAGAAATATACCTACAAAAATACATAGTGCAGAAAAAATATGGGACAAACAGCTCCTTGTTCCCCCTCCCCCCAGGCTCTGGCAATCACCTTACTCCTTTATGTCTCTGTGAATTAAACTACTCTAGGTGCTTCTTATAAGAGGAATCATAAAATATTTGTCCTTTTGTTTCTGGCTTATTTCACACAGATAATGTCTTCAAAATTCATCCATATTGTAGCATGTGTCAGAATTTCCTTCCTTTTTAAGACTGAATAACATTCCATTATATGTGTACACCACATTTTGTTTATTCATTCATCTATTGATGGACATTTAGGTTGTTTCCATCTTTTGGCAACTGTGAGTAATGATTCTATGAACACTGTGTACAAATATCTGTTTGATTCCCTGCTTTTAATTATTCTAGGTATACGCGCAGAGCCTATCTTTTATTTGCATAAGCCCAAAGGCCTTGTGTGATCTGCCTCGCCCCAGAAAAGCACACACACCATCTCTCTAGTTGCCTCTCCTACCATTCTTCTCCTTGCTTACTCTGCTTCATCCACACAAGACTTCCTCTTCCTCCAACACACCAAACATACTATTGCATCAAAACCCTTGCCTGTGAAGTTAGGTTCCTTTATTTTTGTCCCCCAAGATATGTACCTAGTCTGTCTCTTCACTTCTCTCAAGTCTGTACTGAAACAGCATTTTGTTTGGTGGGCATTACCAAACACAATATAAATTAATATGTCCTCTACCATTTATGCTGCTGTACCCTACATTCCTTTCATTCTTTGTCCTAATAAGAATCTCAGAATCAGACATCTCATGTATTTTTATAGAATTGTTGTCTATCTGCCTCACTTAGGGATGTAAAGCCTGTAGGAACAGAGACTTTTGTTTGTTTGTTTGTTTTTGTTTGGTTGGTTACCTCATGTATCTCCAGCTCCTAGAACAATTCCTTATTCTTAGTATGCAGTTAATAAATATTTGTTGAATGACAGAACGACTGGCTGAATGAATGAACACACACATAAAATGACATTTATAATGATATCCATGCAGCAGTCTTTGCAATAAAAAATAAATATTCAACATTAGGAAATTTTTAAATAAGCTAGATACATCCAAGCCATGAAATACCCTACAGCAGTGAAAAGAATGTTAGCTCTATATTTCTAATACTAAAAAATATTCAAGACATAGTAATAAGTTTAAAAAAAAGCAATCTGCAGAACAATATAAACAGTAAGATGAAATTTATAGTACACTCATGAGTTACTCATTGAGTGGGGTAGGTAGTAAAAAACTTTATTTCAATTGTTTGAAATACTCACAGAAAAGATGCATATGTGTATTACTTGTATAATTCAAATAAAGGAAGATAAATAAATAGATAAATAAAATGTCACATGTAGGATAGGTGAAAATGTCTGCTTTTATCCCTGTAAAAAATAAAACTTAAATCTAGGATTTTCAAGATTCTTCATAGTGTAGCAAAAAGTCTGGTGATGGTCCATTTGGAATATTAAAGGTGGATATCAGGGATAAGAGCTATGAGAACGAAGAATGGAAGATGTTGTAGAAAGTGTCTGCTGATGTCTTCAGCCATATGCACATAATTGTATGTCAAGCATCCTATGTTATAACATAGAAATGAATGTTTCTATGTTACACTATATCATAGATCTATATCCTTACTCATAAATATCTATAGCTGAACAGATGTGTACCTAATTATTAACAGATGTTATCTATGCTTTTTAAAAATATTTGAGACTTTTTTCTTTCTTTGTTATTTATCTTCATAATTTCTATATGCAGATAA